GTGTGTGCGTGTGGTGGGGACAGTCAGATAGACAGGTGGGAGCTACGAGTGAGAAAGCGGGCCAAGCGATACAGCTAAACCTTGGACTGGTGCCACCTCACACATAGATCAGCATGTGCTAGAACAGTGTTGCATCACGTGCACTCCAATCATGTTGCTGCTCTGCTGCGTGACTGAGTGTATTGGCTCAAAACTCTGGAGGAGCTGGGGAGGGGGGAGGCGGTATTAGGTGGGAGGCTATGATTGTTAGTCAGCTGATAAACTCCCAAACAGAGCTCAAAGTACAGTAAAAACAGACACACATGCCTGTACAAACAAAATACAAGCACGTACATACACAACAGAGAAGACACAGGGTGGCCAGAAAAACAGGGATTCATATACACTAATGCTAAACAACTTTTAATGATGTACTGTATGTAATTCTTATATGACAGAGTATTAGGGCCAAGATGACGGAAAAAAAAAAAGATTAGACAGAACCCATGCTCGCCAGAGTTCCACTTCTTCGGAATCCAAAATCATGAACCAATCTCATTGTGAAACTATGAAATCCCTTTGAATAACACGCAGATGTAACCAACAATATACAATCGACCTCTGACAAACATTTCCTCCTTTACAAAACAGGCAATAGACAGTTTTTTACACAATCTCGTCCTAATGCTTATGATGTGGTGCTGATAAGTCAAAATATGAAGTATTACATTACTTGTGAAACTTATACTAGTATAACCTAACTCTATTCTCCACATTCCTCATTTTAACACTGGTTGATCTTCTTAAATTCCCCATCTAAAAACGTATGCAGTCTAAAACTACAACTATTATGGAACTTTTTTCATGTAATATTATGATTTTTTCCTCCTCTATTCTGATTCAGAAAGAATGTTTTTTCTTCTACATGGCCCCAACACTCTGTCATATCGACGAGTAAACACTAAACTTACCATAAAACTCTGTGAGCAGCAGTCTCAACAAGGGTGACATTTGAGGTCAAGCACATGTTTGCTTGTGCATTGAACTACATTGTATTGTATCTTACAAGTGTTTAAGTTCTTTCGGTCACTCAATTTTAATGACTGAGCTGCCTATAGGGTGTACCACAGGTACATTTGAGCTTGTCATTTAGTAGCCATTCCTGAGACCACTATGCAAACACAGTTTAAGCTCAGAGCATTGCTGGCTGGTCTATAAATAGCAAGCTGGGAGCTTGCTATTCCTTAGCGTCCCAGATCCAGAGAAACCCAATTTTTCCACTAGGAAGAGGGCCAGCAGCTTGTGCTGTCAACAATTACAACACTTTGACAACATTTAGTGAAGCACACTGAAATATTCCTGGAGGGGTGACATGGATACCTGCCAGTCTCACAAAACTGGGTGTTACCCAAGTTTTGCGCATCCAAACTTCAGTACATAAATCATGAAAGTGGGATAACTAGAGGTTCACATATCTCATATACCACAATCTCATAATTGTTTACGTACACAGATATGGCAGATTTCTCAACAATGTCTGGGAGTTGTATATTCTTAAAATACCAGTGTCATCACCCTGTGGCCTTAACACACCACAGTCAACACAAACAACAAAACACAGTTTGCAGAGTCAAACTTACTCTACAACATCCCTGAGTTATAGCATAAGAAAGCTCTACCCAGTAAAAGCAAATACAATGAAAGAAGTAGATATACTAAAAACATCTGTGCCTTTACAAATCAGCTATTGTTGCTCTGACGCTAAGGGACGATCATGCTGCTGGTCTGTAACTTCACCTAAAAAGACTTATCCTAAACATTGCAAAATAACCTTAAAATCATGAGTAAAAATGAGAAATGGATTAGAACATTAGGCTGATTAACAAAATAATAACCTTCAAATAAATCAGTAAATCAACATTTACTTAACAGCAGAAAATCCTCACTTAACATATACTCCATGTTTTAAGATCAACTGTTAAGCTGGTCTAAATTTGTAGCAGCAGGGTGACATGTGGGTTTTCAAGTGAGAGTGATCCACATGCCTGACGTACCTAAACAAGATTCTCTTGAGAAGCTGCTGATCTCCTTCTGTGTAGCCCGGCCAGTCCTTCTGAACTTCCTTATACAAAAAGTCCTTCAATGTGAAGGTGCTGTCTCTCCCATTCAGGTTTGCCACCTAGGTAAATGCAAAAAAGCGATGGGTGAGTTTACTACCGTTTGACTGAAGATGTGTGTGCAATGGTTAGGAGTGTGTGCATGCGTTTGTGTTTTGAGACCTGTTGCAGGTGACTGTCTAGGGAGTCTTTGTCTAAAAGTGAGAGGCCATCTTTCTGCAACCTTAGGATCAGCTCAGGCTTCTTGTAAGGCTTGAGGGCCAGCAAGTGTATGAGACGTTCTCTGAGTGGCCGGTTCTGAGTCGCGCCTTTCTTCAGAGCATTGCTGGAGATGAGGACGGGCCTAGATGTTGTCCGCGATGGGGCAATGTCTGAGAGTCCAGGTGCCGGTTTCCGTATCTGAACCTTTTTGCCTGAAAGGAGTTATAGAGAAGAAGTTAGAGCCTGACTGATATCACTGTAATAACACTGAAATACCAACAATATTAAAGGTGCACTTGTTAGTCATTGAATGTTAATGTTCAAAATTGGCCAATAAACCCTATTTGGAAAAAATAATAACATTGCAGCAAAGTCAAAGAAAATAAGGAGCAAAAGAGAAAAACTTTTTGGCCTAATGGTTCCGAGAGGACATAAATCCTTCTCAAGTAAAAACAAGTAAGTAAAGTTCACTCTACAGTTGAGTAATGAGTTGTGCTGAGAATTTCCGCTAATGGGAAACCTAATTGCTCAGGGAACTTTGTGAAATAAACTACAATCTACCAATGAAACAAACGCTTTGGCTGATATAGGACTCAAGTGACTTTTTGGTAGTGAGTCTGTGCATGATATGTTTTATAGTGCAGCTCACAGAACAAAACAAAAAGGTCAGGAATTTGATGTGTTATGCCTGGAGACAGAAAGATGATCAGTGTGTATGTGGAGCATCGTGTGTTTTCAATAAAAGTTCTGGTTACATATGAGACATGCTGGCAATGTGCATTTAGCAAATGTCTGAGTCAGTTGATCCAGACATTTTCTGAAAATGTTCATGCCAGGCCTGTTGTAAAATGTCAGTAAATGTCAGAATGTGAGAGTGAGCTCATGTGAGAATACAGCAGGAAAATGTGAAAAATGCAACGCAAAACTGAAGAAACAAAAAGAAAACAGATATCTCAGGATGAAAAAGAGGTGCATTCGCATAGAAAATGAAGATGTCAACTTAGAAAGGCAAGGAGATTCAAGAGCTTTCGGTGATAATAGTTGATGCCAGTGTTGACGTGCCACATTCATTCATTCATTATGTCCGGCCTCCTTCATGCTCTACCCAGGTGCCAATCCTCGCCTGAATGTTCCAGACATTTTCCTGTTGCTGTGAACGCATCTGACCTGGACAATCTCCTGCTGTGAAATTTTCCGGAGTTCATGTCTGAGAATGGCTCATATGTCTGTCAACTGCCAACACCTTTATGGTGTTGAAATAGAAATCTCCTTTCCATCACCAAAAAGCTGACTTGATGAACACTGATGGCCCGTGACTCAGAAAAACCACTGATATTATCACGTGTCAGTATCATGTCCCTCACCCACGTATCTCCCCCCAGGCTTGATGACGATGGCACTCCTACTGCGAGTCTCCTCCTCAACCTGGGCCATGTTCTCCCTGGCCTTCTGGTAGGAGTCGTCTGTGGCACATACTGTAATCTTGTCCTGGATGCATCCCAAACAATCCAGCTGAATGCTCCCTTCACTGCCAAAACACAAAGAGGAGACGTTGAGAGAAGAAGAAGGGGATTGAGTGACCAGAAGCTTGAGGGAGAGAATAGAAAGATTAGGAGGGAATTGCTTTTAATTTAGGTGCTGAATGATTTAGATTGTCAGTTATTGAAGTAGACAGGAAACAAACCAATATCATGTTATATTTCCAAGGATACTTCTTTAAAATACTGAATATAAAAGCACCAATACAGTTTAATTCTCAGTTTTAACCTTAAATCTTTCAAAACTGTGAATTCTTGCCCAGATGAGTTCAATTGAACACCCAGTGGGCACTAGTGTTTCATCCAAAGTTCCCACAGTGAGACTTACTGCTGCATCATAACCCCATTCTTTCCTGACTTTTTCCGCTTTGCTTCTCCACCACTTTGATTAGGATTTGGCAGAAAATGAGATGGTGCAGTTGCAGTCGGTGGAAGCTGAGCTCTGTCATTTGGGTTTTAGATTGGACCTCAAGGTTGATTAGGATCCAGTCAGGGATGCGGCTGAACTCCACCTGACCCACTTGTTAAAAATATTTTCAGAGCGATGGGGTCAGAAACTCAACAGTCAGAGGAGCAGAGGAATCTTGCTGCCCTTCTTTTCTCTTTCTACTTCCTACTGCTTCAAAGCACATTTCTGGTTCTCGGATTCACCCAGTATTTTTAAACATTTGTTACTCTACAGAAAATGTGTGGAATGAGTTTAAAGAGCCTGATGCATGAAAGGGAACCACATGATGATGTCTTGTGTCTTTGCTGCTTCTACCACAGAAACACTGGTAGTAAAACTGAGTTCCACAAATATTTAAGTTAAAATGAAAGCCAGAACCTAAAAATAAAAGCAATATTTCTATTTTCAACTACTTGATTCTAATTTTGCAACTGTGAGGTAACACAAAATACTATGTAGTGTTAGGCATCTTACTGAGAGGCTTGGTGATTCACCTCAGGTCCTGATCATGTTAAACACATTGTCTGCTGTCAAAGAGTTGTGTTTGATATTACACTTTGTGAATGCATTTCTGAATAAGAGGAATTAGTTGCACATTAAGAGTGAAAGTGAGTGAGATTCAGTGTTTGCTCTCACCTGGTGATGTACTGCTGGATGCAGTCAAAACTTCCCTGGGGGTTATCTCTGCCCACATTCGACAGGTAGAAAGTAAACGTTTGCAGTTCACTGGTATTTTCTGACCGTGGTATTGAAATCTTCTGTTGAAAACAAAAAAAAGAAGAAAATTCCCCAATGAAAACATGACCAATGGATCTACATGGTTCCATTTAAGAGCATTTTTCATGCTTCAATAAAGGTATATTTTCATTTTATCCACACCTTATTTTTCAGTCAGCACAAAGAAAGGACCAAATTTTTTCTAGATTAAACATATTTTTCTGTCTGATAGATTCAGTGCTTTAAATGAACATCAGCACTGTACACCTTACAAACAAGGCCATACCGAGGCAAAGCAGTGAGTTAGCCTGAGGCGTTTTCTTCCTGGCATTAAAAACAGTGAAAACCTCACAAATTGCAGCCAACGCCACTGTGTTCTCCTCTTACAGCTCAAATCTACGAAGAGAGTCTGTGAGCTGCTCTGTTTTCCAAACGTGTGATTGCAGGAGCCACATGTAAATTACTGTAGCAGAAGAGCTATGAAAGGTATTTCTGCAGTCTGTGGCCTACCAAGCGGCTATGCACATCCTATTCCACCCCCATAATTACCTTCCTCCCACACTACAGGTGTTGCTTTTCGAAGACTCCGGATGAAGTTAATCACGGTCAGCTAGCAGCTAACCTCCACATACCATTTAAGTGACAACTGGGAGGAAGATGCTGACTTTAAGTTTCTGAATACATTTTATACTGGTAAAGTTCAGCATTACTGAAAATGGTGAACAATTTATTGCAGAGTAAATATACATGTGTCATCTTCTTAGAGAGAAAGCACTGAACCTTGCCACTCTTCAATCTTATTCCATCTTAAAATTGACGCCTGTGGTAGCCAATTTCTGTGAAACAAGCACAGCCTCAAACACTTCTTTCTGTCAATTTAATTCAGCATCTGCAGATGGACTCACAGTACACATCACCTGAATGACATGTACAAATGAGCGAAGAACAGGAAAATCTGTGTACTTATAACTCACAGTCCCCTCCCATTGGGTGTGTAAAGGTATTTATTACCCTCCTATAGTCGTATCATTATGGGAGACATCCTGCCTTCATGTCTCTTTAGAAGACCCCTGGAGTGAGATCCCAAACATATGCCAAGAGATACCATAAAGTTGTGGCTTCAAGAGGCCATATGGTCAAAGGCTCTAAGCAATAATCGTAAACCTAAAGTTGCAATTATACATACACAAAAGGCATATTTCCAACACATTAGGGTTCACACTTGATTTGCAATATATAATGCATCCTTACCATCCTCCCTTGGAAATTCACATCTTCCTTACAAGCTCAAAGTAAAGCCATGCATGTGAATGTTGGACCAGGTAGCTTAACGTTTGCCATGTAGGTGCACTCCATGTTAGTTTTTGTTGTCTTTGTAGTTTGTCAATGGACAGTTAGCATGTCACCTTTTTTTGATGTTGCTATTTAGCAACAATAACAACAAAATGATAGCTATTCCTTTTCTAAAGTATGCATGCAGCAGTCCCACTGGTCGTTTGACCTAATCAACACCTTCAATGTTATTGTTGCACATTTGATCATTTGTTATATGGTATTATAGAAAGTATATAAAGATTGACGACATGAAAGCTGCCCAAATGTGAAGCCGGAGTTTGCCATCAAGATTGGTTAAACAAGTGTTGGCGGGACCACAGCTCCATCCCTGATCACTTTCTGCACAGACTGGCTCCAAATATGCAAGATGGCGACATTAATATCCGGGATATTTTTGGCTTCATTTCTGGATAGTAGGAGGAAGTGGAGACGCTAAATCCAGCTTTATATGGAGTCTCTATAATTATGTTACTATATTATTATCTACAAACACTCATCAGAATGTGAATTCAAGCCTGATTTAATTTGATGAGTTCTGAGGGAAAGGCCACGCAGCCTGGCAGGTGAACCCCAGCTAAGCTTTGTTTGCCTAAGCATGAATTCAAGTGGTGTCACAGCCAAGGACGGTACATGACACTCAGCCAGGGAAAGAAAAGAAAGCCGACTTTACCAAAGGCCCTGGTTCAGTGGCGTCTGACCAGTGAGAAGCTCAATGAGACTAACCTAACCTACATCACTGCTCCTGTGACTCACTGACATCTACATCAGTGATCAGACCAACATGCGTTCAGTGTAAAGACAGCTGTCCTCTTATTTGTCTTCCTGGAAGACATTTTACCACGTTTGTAATATATATACTTTAAGGCCAACACACTGATTCAGGGTTAAGTCAAATAAATTTCCCATTCCTTGTTTTTGCATTATCGATTAAGATTCTTATAAAAAGAGTTTAAAGCCGACCAGCTACAAGATGAAATGGGACCATAAAACGTGTGCAGATATATATATATATATATATATATATATATATATATATAAACGGTGAACATAATTTTGTAAGATTGAAGAAACTCCACATCCCATAAACCATTGCGAAAATTGCAAAATTGAACAACCTCCAGCAAGATTCCTCTTGTATTAAACCTTTTCCCCCCTTTGCATTCTTTTCCCCATCACCAAGAAACCACAGCATGTTAGAAAAGGGAAATCATGGTTACTCTGTGGTAAACATAATATTACGATGAACCATCTAATCTTAACCAACATGATTTTCACAGTGGTATTCATTTCCATGGTAACAGCGAGATATTACACAAGAGAATTATGGGTAGTGTAGTACCTCTTCTTGACATCATGAATAAAACATCCTTCTTATGTAGTTGCAGTTGATATCTTACCGACTCATGCCTTCTTCAGGTCCATATAACATCGTTTCACAATCTCGTAGCAAGTCTACTTTGGATGGTCACAATGTTATGACTGATAATCAAAATCTCTACACAGAAATACAATGGATTTCTACTTCTAGAACAACACTATTGAGCTTTATTAATCAGTGTTCTCTGTTATCTCAAGGAACTAACATTTTGGTACAATTTGGACTGTTTTGCCCCTTTCAGAAAAAGACCACATTTTCCAAGCCACCTCTACATATCCATATTCATTATTCTCCACTTCAGTATAATATAACAGGCTCTTCCTCTGCTACAACCTACCTGATAAAGATAAAATAATGAATCAGAGATCAAGCAGCCAGTGTTGCCACTGCTATCATCAGAGGAGGGATTTGAATATCCCAGTCACGACAACATATTCACTTGCATTTCTGCTATAAAATGTGGATTCAGCAAAGAGAGAAAACGGATTATTTTTTAATCATTTAGCTCCCTGCAGTTAAGTGTTGAATGAAGGTGTTAAAAGCAGTTAAGTGAATAGCTATGCCCCGTCTCTACCACATTATAAACATTATAAAATAAGACGTTTTTGTGGGAAGAGGAGCAACAGTGATAGAAGCTCTACAGTGCTGGAAGGCATCTACATGCCTGCCAGTTGGGACAATTTTAAACATACTGATGTCAATATTATGTAAAGATACAGAGGAACAAAGAAGACGTGTTGAGTTACATGAATCGAGAGATGATTAAGAGGCAGAGGAACTGAACTGAAAGGCAAGGCGCTGCACAGCGGTGTGACTCAGCTGACTCACTTTGTTGTAGATAAAAAGAGTGAGAAGTGAAAGAGGCCAAAAAAGAGCCACCAAATGGCTCAGGCTCAAACTTGAAAGTGTTGAAACCACAGCATGCATAGGATAATTTACTCATCCAGTGATGAGAACGGCTTTTAAAGAAAATGTGTAATCATTAAGATGAAAGCCGACGCACCCTGTTTGTTGTTACTGAGTGGAGCTTCTCTCCAGTTTGACTTTGAATTTAGACGACACAACTGTGTCTTTGTGCACTTAGCGTGGATGTTGGTGACAAGCTATTTAATAAAAAAGTTATGCATTTTATATAACTGATGTGATGCGTGATATGCACACGTGAGACTTTTCTGTTTGAAATTTTGAAATGTTTGTTTGAGATTTATAACTTGAACCTAGTTGAAAATAGACTAGAATCATCAGGGTAATGTGTTCATTTGTGCATCATTTTAACAGTCTTCAGTTCATTTGTTGACAGAACTAATGGTGATTAAACAGGGACTAGCTCAGAATATTAAAAAACACCAATTACCTAAAGAAATCAAAATAAATGGATTGAGAACATCAAGCACGTTTTCTGAACTGATCACCATGGGGAAAACAATTCTGGTCCTTGCACTATCAGTGCTCAGGCCCTAATTAGACTGACACTCAGACAGTGCATACCACTGCTACAGTTCCCTTATAAAACAACATTTAAATTCACGAGATCTTAATTTTTTTCTGCACCAATTTGCACACACTCAAAACTTATTGGGTTCTCTCCTGAAACATACCACATACTTCCACCAAGTTTAATGGTAATCCATCCAGAAGTTTTTGCATAATCCTGCTCACAGAGACAAACAAACGCAGACAAATTCATAACCCTGGACATAATTATCTTTTATAATTTTGTAAACCCAACCACTGTCTCCACCAATGTTAACAATCAGTTTAGGATGCAAATTAAGATCCTTTCGCTGAAAGCTTCAAGAAAACCCTGCTTTGCCAAAGGTAGACAAAAAGAAAAATGGAATTAAATGTATGGGCACACATTAAAGAGCATTGAGAGATTGCTTAAACACTATGTGAAGGGCAGGGAGTGAGAATGAAACACACCATCGCTAAAGTAATAATCCCCCTTATGCAGCTGCTTCTAGGGGTGGAAGTGAATTGTAAAACCACCCCCTCTGTGTTTTGCAGGCAGCTATAGCCTCATCTTCTCATTCTACACGGCATCAAGCAAACAATGACTCTTTTCAGGTTGGGGGTCGCTGAAGAGGACTGACCCCCACACACTTCGTCCTGTCTTCTGCACAAGGCCAGGGAGGAAGCGGAGGAGGAAATGGAGACGAAAAGGGAAAATCAGAGAGATAAGACCCTGACATGCGAAGAGAACTTCAAAGATTTAGTGCAGACTGATTAAATGCTTTTTTTACACTGCAAAGCCAACAACCAGCTGACTTTTGACATGTATGGGCGAGGGTTTTCAGAAGCGGAGAACAAACAGCATGTAAAGCGACAGATAAAGACGGTGTGTGAAAGTGAAAGAAAACCACATGTATGGAACAACTCATTCATTACCACAGGCCAATTGTGCAGCATTAATAAAGGAAGGAAGCATGTGTCTTCCAAACTCACCAAAACACCAACTGCACATAACAGAATTCTTAAAGTCATATCAACAGCTAGAGAGAAATACCAGAGCATGGATACAGGTCATTAGGTTTTTCCGTATCAGACACCTTCGATAGAGCCACATGTGTGGTTTTATTGGGCCACTTATATTCTGAATCTGAACCTGACTGGAAAAACACCTCACAAATTTCATCTGCTTATTCTCTTTGAATGTCTCGCTCTCTAAAGGTGCTTTTGTGTGTGTCAGAGCTCACAGAGTGCTCTACCAGATGAATGAATATGAATGAATGAATGAATATGGGATGTCATTGTGACAGCCAGGCCATCTGCTCTGTAATTTAGCCACTTTCACATTTCTGACTAGCATTCTGATCTCAGCAGCAACAGTTTTTCCTCTAGAGTGGGCCTTCTGCATCAATAAAATGAATTACTTTGCTTCTGGGAGCCTAGAATCATCAGATAACAAACATCAGTTCTACCATTTAAATCATGCAGCTGACAAATGTAACTACACATGAACCACATGCATGTATTTCATGTATACATAAGTTCTCACATTTCAATGCATGTTAAAAAGAAAGATATGTGGAACAATATTCATAGAACATGATTGTCAAAAGGACCTTGATGTTTACACATCAACTTGCAGAGCAGACCTGATGTTCACAGATACTGGTTGAATGCAGGACTGCAGTGAACTGCAATTCTACACTTATATATTGATGGCAGGATAGTAGCATTATGCATATCAGAACTCCTGAAGGAGATCATCAAAGATGTGGTTAGGATATCAGCTTAAACTAGAAACCTTTCATTGTAAAAGGTGGAAATAAAGACAAAAATACACAGATGTGAGCTGCATGAACATACAAATACAAATATCTTTCTTCATAATAACATTCACATCAACCAACAGACGGCTGCTGCTGCTTGTGGACCATTTTTGAGGTTTGGAAAGAAAATGTATTGACAACTTGGAATACATTTGCTGGATTCTCTATGCAACACAGCTAGCTAGGGCTGGGCGATAATTACAAATCTGATCAATCATGCGTTATACAGTATATATACTTTCGCCAGTGTTTACAAAATGTGAGGGCATCACATTGAGATATATTATATATCAAGCTGTATTGCTTTTGAGGAAATTTATATTGCAATAATTATTGTTAATTTGCCATATGTGACAGGTACAGATTTGTGAATATTGGATATACAAATAAAATTTGATTAATCACACTTAATCACATTTACTACAATTATTATGATAATAATTTTTCAATCACTATCACTACAATCACCCTTATAAGGAGGTAAAACAAAATTGTTTTTTGGTTGACCGTGTGAGTACACTTTCTTAATGTCACTGCTGATACTGCTGTTGCAACTCTAAAACCTTTTGGGGAAGAACTTCAAGATAACAACAAAATGACCTTCTTTTGCTTTGCAAATGGAGAAGTATGAACACATTCAACCCACATTGCCCAGTATGGTGCCAACCTGTGCAAGAGCTTTTCATATTACATCTGATGAGCTATGATAACCTGTGTGTCACTGTGGGCGTCTTTGTGTGGGGTCACACAGACACACCCACCCATGCAGACACTGTGTGTGTGTGTGTGTGTGTGTGTGTGTGTGTGTGTGTGTGTGTGTGTGTGTGTGTGTGTGTAAGAGGAAGTAAATATAACAGTGGCTTGTGACAGTCATATCCACAAACAGCCTATCATAACAACATTTTCAAGAGAGATGGAAAGCCAATACAATGTTCCAAACATGAGGCAAATCGCAAAATGAACCAGGCCACTGGATGTTTTGCCAAACTGAAACTTGCCATTACAGAAGAGCAAATATGAGCATGTCTGACTGGGCAGGCTCATACATGCACACCAGTGTTTTGCCCAAGCATGAAGCGGTTACTTATACAGAAAATACTTGTGAGCATTTACTGTCTGCATGTGGAGAGTTAATTGCTCATATAGGGCGTACTGGAATCCAAGAGAGAATACTGTCATTGTCATTAAGAAGCAGCTTGCTTTCGAGGATAAAAGAACATTTTAATCAAATTAATTGCACGTGCTAGCCACTATTGCAGCTTAGAGACAAGGCAGGCAGTGACAAGTAGGGGTAACTTTAGATTCAAATAACTGCAGCAATGTCTCTTCTGTTTGGATCCTGTTCATCTATTCTCTGAATACTTGCCTTGCATTACGACTAGCGCATCATATTGGTGATGGTTTAAGTAATTTTTGTTAAAACTTGACCAGTTAGTGTCCACGAAGACAACCACAATTAGGAACCAAAACAAAATAAACGAAATCTTGTGGCCAGTAGCAAGACACAGGCATCAATAAATTTAGAACATACTGTATATAGCTGTGTCATGTGGGAAGAAAAAACAATAACTAGCTTTCAGCTTGCACCAGTGTTATCCTATGAAAAATGTTTTTAAAATGTTTTAATTCAAGTAAACAATACTGAGGGTGAGGGAAAGATGTCTTACCCCTTGATTTCCATTAAATCTGATCAATGGTCGTGATGACAGCACCTATAAAACACAGATAATAACAGCAGTGTTAAATCACTTTCAAGGTAAACACATAAGAAGATTTCATCAAGACAAATTATCAGATAGATATTCAGTCCCTCGTGTAATAAACTTCTTATGCAATAAGCTTCAACCATTCAATAAGAAAAAAACAAAGAAACTAGAATACATTTCTTTGCATCATCATATTAGATTTCTAACATGTTTGTGTACTAAAATGTAAATTAATAATAAATGGTTTCCATATAGATACTGTATATCTAAATATATATATAAAGAAATTTGGCAATGATTCCTAATATGTCATTATCAAACCTTTATGACAAAGACATGTTAATGACACTTGAAACAGTTTAACCATAAACTTAATAATAAAAAAGAAAACAGAAATATATAGAACTAACATTAATTTCCAAAGTAAAATAGAAACATAAATGCACATCTCTTCTGCATTCTGTAAAATGTGATACCAGCAAACATAAACTCTGATACCGATATGTCTGTGAAAGGCTCATATTGGGCGATTTTATCTACTGATAAATCCGTCAAGCTCTAATTTCTAATATTTAGTTTCAGTATTTGAAATTGGGTGAATCAAACAATCATCAGTATTATAGTTCCCCAAGAGAAAACTCCTACAGAAAGTAAGTAAGTGAAAGAAAACTATGTTAAAGTTGTTGCCAGTCCAGGTAATCGACTAATAATGGTAGTAATAGTAATAAAGGAAATTAACAGTGCTCCAGTTCTGGTCTACCTGAGCAGCAGAGTAACCATTACCATCGATTAATTGTAGCTTTTAAGTGGCTGCGATAAGTTAACAAACATGGACATAAAAAAAAAAAAAACAAGTCATTTCTAAAGTGCTGCTGCTTTAGTGGATCAAATGTGATCAAGTGAGAGACTGAGATTAAAAAGTTCAAAGCAGGACGAGCGTATTAAAAGACACAACATGCTTTGTATTCCTGCCTGATCTTGACCCTGAGAAACGAAGCATGCACACAAAGACTGGTGAGCTTCTGTGTGGCTTCATTTACACACTTAACATCACAGCATTCACTTACAGTCAATCAGTTTTGTGAGCTTAGTATTCTTCATTACATTAGCTCCAATAGTATTGTGGATCATGCAGACACAATCCTTACAATCCATACAAAAAATATAAGTAGATTTTTACCTCTAGCAAGAGGTCATGATATCTGCATTTGTTTGTTTGTTTGATAGTAGGCAGTGGCACAATTACACAAAAACTACAGGTCAGATATTTGAACATTTGGTGGGATGTGGTATGAACCAGGGACGAACCCATAAAATGTTGGTGTGGATCCCTATCAGGGGGTGGATCCAGGAATTTTTTTCATTTCCTATAACATTGCAAGATAGTGCTTTGTTTTTTTGTTCTTTACATTCAATAGATTTCTCAGATTATAATTCATAGGAGTGTGTGCAATTTGGTGCAGAAACAAATACAAATTCAGATCGAGTGGATTTAATGGTTGACCATACCGTCTATTGTCTTTGTATGCTGAGAGTTGCATACTTGTTTTGGTCACATGTACATGCCTGTGGTTCCCTTCTTACTAAAGTGAGAATGCCTGTTGATCTGGCTTTGCACGCATGCGTACCTGATTCTGCATTCCATTCCAGTAGGTGAATATATTGTATGTGGAGTAGGGCTGGGCCATATGGGGAAAAAATTGTAACCCGATAATTTGTATCGATATGAATCAAATCGCCCTTTGTAATTTTTTACTTCAGATGAAAATGAGTGGAACTACCTGTCTCTGTGGGTATATGCTTTCGACACAATTTCCCCAGAACAACTGTGGAGCATACACAGTGAACGCGTTCAGTTTGGGACATCTGCATGAGGATGTGTGCAATTGTACTTTTTGGAGAGATATGTGACTGTAACAGGCAGATTAGGAATTCAGACTGGGCTATTTTTAGTTGTGGAATAATGCCTTGCAGTGCATTTTTGTCAGATGAGTTTGTATTTAATCGAAAAACTATCGACAGGTGCAGCCCTACAAATGGCCATTATGTGGTATGTGCTTTAACCATTAGGTCCCAAGATGTGCCAGTGATACATTATTTAATGAATCAGTACCACAATTATGAAGCCAGTAACTGATATAAATTAATTCCCTTACAGTAATCACTCTAATCCAGGTGTGAGACACTTACAATTGTTCAAAACATAGTACCCAGATTACACTGTTTAGATTGAGCAGAAGACTTGCATCTTATTTATTTTTATAGCAGCCAGTCATTTGAAATGATATCCATATGGAATATGTTGGCATATTAAGTGATTGGGGCCACTGGGTTATAAAAAAACCACGGTGACATTATGCCAATGCATTGCTCCCTTTAAGTACTGCTGTCCTGTGAAAAATTGAATTTGAGCAGAGGGATTGTGCTCATGTCATATATGTCGGAAGGCTGTGTAAATACTGCCAAGACCTGACTTCCAGAGCTTTGCAACCTTCAGATCATTTTGCTAATCCTTTGTGTTGCTAAACTTGTTTCACCAGCAACTTGCCAGCTAAGTCATCACCAAGTCTGGTGTAATAATTGATTGCCCAACACCTTAGCTAAAAAGGCTGGATTGTTAGAATGTATTTAAACTCTGAAGTAGTAGCATGTTCAATACCTTTTGACACACCCACTCATGATCGTGAGGTTGTGTTTTTATCGATGACAGAGGAAGGAAGCAAACCACAGTAATACATATTTTGAGAGCAACTAAAAACAGTTTCAGTTTGTCCTGAGCCAGAAGCTGCCGAGGAAAGTCAGACCTTTCATGGAGCCACACTCCCTAGCTTCCCCCTGCAATGTTTAACACAGCACCAGTTTTAGCACTTCCAACCACCCTGTACCCCTCCCCCATCACAGTGCTGCGAACATAGTGCTACCCTCAGCCTGTTCATTTGAATGGGCTGCTGACATGTCACTATTTTCTGGGACCTGGGCCCAGAATGTTCCACAGAGCTAACCTTAGGGACAGAGTACGGGTCCTGAGCGTGGATCGATGACAAGGCCATGGATGTTCTCACACACTGCCAAACAGTGACAGAATGGGGATCAACTGGACAGACACAGCTAATGATAAAACTGAACTGATGAAAATGTTGCTACAACATAAAAGCTTGTCTTCTTATTGTACTTTGCCCAGCATTATACACAAACTGAAGTTCTCTAACTATACTTTGTGTGCAAATGTGTTTTACTGCTGCACAACTAGTGATGACAATTTAACATGATCTGGAAGTCTTTTTTGATCAGTATATATATTTAATGTTCCAAAATCAGTCAAATAACAGCAACACATTTAATCAACAAATTGCATCAATAATACAGTCACGAACACAAAAGGTTTTATGTCAAGTTTCCAAACTTGAGACTAAAAGTTCCTTCTTTACCTCGTAGACAACCTCACCAAAAGGTGCATTTATTATCCATTATGGTGCTTGGCTGTATTATACAATCTTCGGCAGTGGAAGTTTGCCCAAGTTGTTTTGATGCTTTGCCAAAAGGTGTCCAATGCATTATTCTAGAGAATGGAGAGTGAACAAGTAAACTGTGAATTGTGTTTAAAAAAACCTACCTGGCCAACTTGCTCCAGTTCAAATCAGTGCAACAGTTTAATTGGGTATACGATTTACATGTTAGGGTACAGACCATCTTGAAACTTTACAGAGAACATGCCTATGGCTTTCAAATGTCTCATCTCCCTACTTATTCAAGAAACCTCTCTGTCTGTATGTGGAACACATATCGAGAACTGTCATATCGCTTTCACACTTGTCATGTGTATTGTTAAGGGCCTAGGGAAGGACACTGTTGAATTTGGTGTGATTTGGACATGTGATACGTTCAATATGAATTAACTGAACAAACAGGTGAGCATAGCAGCGGCAGGGTTTCATCAATGTAAGTGACGTCACAATGACAGCGTGATCATGGCAACGACAACTGATTCTTCTGTTCGGGGTTCTGTGTACTGAGTCGAGCTACACCGAACTTTGAATAACCAGGTGAACAGCTCTTTGTGCAGCAGCTATGGCGAGGCTTCAGTGTCCTGTGGACAGAGTCCTGCAGCCAGTCTTTACTCGCCACAGCTCAGTTACTGCAGGTCACTTTCACAATTTTAGAAAGAAAGCTGAAACCAGCATCACCGCAGCCTATTCCAAAGTGCCAGGTTTAGAACGAGTACTGCAAAATGAATAGCAAGATGCTATATTGTGACAATAGTTTATATGTCAGTGAGTTTGAATTTAACATATTAGGAGTTTATTTGTGCAAGAACCGACTGTAAGTCATGGAAAAGGCTTAATAGATTAAGTTAAATTATTTCCCCACACACAGTGTAACTTTAATCTTACTCTCATGTTGCAATGCCAATGGGTTTCTTTGTTTTGTAGTAAATGCATACAGGAATAGCCATGTCCAAATCCCTATGGGTATTGGCTGTGGCAACCAAATTGTCAGGTGTTAGGTTGCATTGCTGTCACACTGATGGGATGTTCCACCTGTCTAGTATTTCAGAAGTGGAAAGAGCACGCACTGTGCAAGTGTGAGATGGTACCAAGTGTACCCACTCTCAATATTAAGCGTGCATGCATCAGTACTGAGTGTGCACAGTGTGTGAAACGTGGTGTAATAGTCTAGTCTTTAAAATAGCTGTGACAGAGGAGTGTCAGGCGATTTGAAATGACACAGTTTGCTCATTGGCTTATTAATTGGACCTACTTGTTGGTGTATTTACTTTAACTGGTTCTTCATTTCTTGAAAGAAACCCTTTAAAGTTTATAGTGTTTTCCATCTCATGACTGCTGAGCTACATTTGAAATGGCAGAACAAGTTTCTTTTGTTTTGCACCACTTGTTGGTTGTGAGGAGAGGATCAGGACATTTATAGTGTTTTCAGAGAGGAACTGCGAAAAATGTCAGGAAAATTGGGTCCAGACATTTTGCCTTTCACATATGAAGAACACAGCA